CCGTAGCCATTTTGGCTCAAGGTTGCGGCCCCCTGTTTCGCAGGTTTCGTGTTTCCGAGATGGTACCGGTGTCCTCGAGCGCTGGGATGGGGAGCAGCAAGGCGCTTGCTTTCCAGGCAGTGCTCGAGGCGATCGAGGCGGTGAAGATCCGGAGAGGCTGCAAGGAGTGGCTCTTCCGAGTGGCGGTCGAGACGGCGAGCCGCGAGGCCATCTCGGCCCAGCCCGCGGCTTCGGCCGCTGGCTGTGCTGCCTGCGGGGTCCTCGCCACGTTTGAGGGGGTGCTGGACGAAGCTGGTCAGTCCCTCGGCCTGGAGCGGAAGGCCACGGGCGAGGACGTCAGGAAGCTCCTCGTGCAGGCTGGCCAGAAGTCTTTGGCCAAGGAGTGGGTCGACTTCCGTGCAGGGCGCCGCGCCTGTGGACACCCGTCCTCAGGGGTCGCGGAGCGGGTCATCAGGGCGATCAGCACCCTGGACAAGTCTGGAGTCGACCTCAAGGAGAGGGGGCCCAAGGAGGAGGAGTTCGTGCAGGACGGTGAGGAGATCATTTTGGAGTGTGGCGTCACCGAGGCGTCAACGGAAAGCGGGTCGGACATGGTGTCACAGAGCTTGCAGAACTTCGACATGAATGTCGAGGTTGTGGATCCCGCCTCCACTGTCAAGCTAGGCGAGCTGGAGTACTCGCCCGTCCAGGCCCGCTCGGTTGTGAAGGAAAAGAAGAAGAAGGTCAAGAAGAAGCTCCCGCCTGACTCCTGCGCCGACGTCCTCCCCACCTTGGCCTCGGTGGATATCAAGACGCGGTCGGTTCCTGCTGGCCTGGACTCGTTCGACATCTCGGACCCGCTGATGCTGGTCCCTGTGTGCGAGATGCCAATTTCCACGCCAGTGGACTACGCGTCGTTCGACATCTCGGACACGCAGATCAAGGGCTCGAACAATAGCGACAGAGACGTTCAGGTCCTGGAGAACACTCGTTCCTACACGGGGGCGAACGACTCCCAGAAGCCTGGGGAGGTGCTGAAGGACGATGAGGGGCAGGTCGTGAAGCTGGACGCGATAGAGCCTGGTCGTCCGCAGGGCCTCGTCGCTGCAATCCTCGCTCAGTATGGCGGCAACCTCTCCCAGGAGCAGATGACGAAGTATGTCAGCGAGGCCTTCCTTCATCAAGCCAGGCTCGGCAAGGTTGGCATTCGCTGATCACCGCGGCCGCGACTTCAAGGAGGCCGATGTGCAGCGGTGGGGTACAACCGATGAGCCTGCGGCCAGTCGGTGCGGGGTCCGCGGGTAGTCGTGCTGCTGTGGACCCCTTTGCCCCTTGGGGGCGGCGCGTGGTGCGTAGATAACTGCGCGTCCCGTGGGGGCTGTCCTGGCGCCGTGGGGCGCCGCAAGCACTGTTTGGTGGCCCCTGGATGCCAAGGCTCGTGCTCCTTCGGCGTCCTGGGCTCCCGATCGGATCGTCCTGGCGCGAGGCTCGTGCTCCTCGCGGCCAGGGCTGAGGTAGGACGGGACACGGGTCCCCAGTGGCGAACTCCTGGCTAACTCCTCCTCCTCCACCTCCTGCTCCTCCTCCTCCTATCCTCCTCCTCCTCCACCTCCTGCTCCTCCTCCTCCTCCTCCTCCTCCTCCTCCTCCTCCTCCTCCTCCTCCTCTTTCTGGATGCAGGTGCTTGGGCGCCCGCAGTGGAGGCCCCTGCCAAGAGACGCCCTGCTTGCCTCCAGGGCGCCCTGGGTTTTTCCTGGGCTTCGGCGGTTTCCCGACGGAGCGCGTGACCCTCCCGCGCCGAAAAGCCCTGGACGTCCTGGCGACTCAGGGCTGGGGTTTCTTGCGCGGGGGGGGTCCTGTGGACTGGCCCCCGCTGCGCTGCAGGCAGGGCGCGCCTGAGGAGCCAGTGCTGGTGGGCGGTGCGCAGGCCCTGCGCGAGGGCCACACAGGGAGACAACTCCTCCTCCTCCTCCTCCTCTCTCCTCCTCCTCCTCCTCCTCCTCTCCTCCTCCTCCTCCTCCTCCCTCCACCTCCTGCCCTCCTCCTCCTCCTCCTCCTCCTCCTCCACCTCCTCCTCCTCCTCCTCCTCCACCTCACTGCTCCTCCTCCTTCCGCCTCCTCCTTCCTCCTCCTCCTCCACCTCCTGCCCTCCTCCTTTTCCTCCCTCCTCCTCCTCCTCCTCCTCCTCCTCTCCTCCTCCTCCTCCTCCTCTTTCTGATGCCAGGTGCTTGGGCGCCCGCAGTGGAGGCCCCTGCCAAGAGACTCCCTGCTTGCCTCCAGGGCGCCCCTGGGCTTTTCCTGGCTTCGGCGGTTGTCCCGGAGGACGCGTGACCCTCCCGCGCCGAAAAGCCCTGGACGTTCCTGGCGATTCATGGGCTGGGGTTTCTTCCTGCGCGGGGGTGTCCTGTGGACTGGCCCCCGCTGCGCTGCATCAGGGCGCGCCTGAGGAGGCCGGTGCTGTGGGCGGTGCGCCGGCCCGCGCGAAGGGCCACAAGGGAGACTCCCCTCCTCCTCCTCCTTCCTCCTCCTCCTCCTCCCCCTCCTCCTCCACCCCTGCTCCCCCGCCTCCTATCCTCTCTCCTCCCCCCCTCCTCACCTCCTGCTCCGCTCCTCCGCCTCTGCTTCTCCTCCTCCTCCTCCTCCTCCTCCTCCTCCTCCTCCTCCTCCTCGTCTTTCTGGATGCAGGTGCTTGGGCGCCCGTAGTGGAGGCCCCTGCCAAGAGACGCCCTGCTTGCCTCCAGGGCGCCCTGGGTTTTTCCTGGGCTTCGGCGGTTTCCCGACGGAGCGCATGACCCTCCCGCGCCGAAAAGCCCTGGACGTCCTGGCGACTCAGGGCTGGGGTTTCTTGCGCGGGGGGGTCCTGTGGACTGGCCCCCGCTGCGCTGCAGGCAGGGCGCGCCTGAGGAGCCGGTGCTGGTGGGCGGTGCGCAGGCCCTGCGCGAGGGCCACACAGGGAGACAACTCCTCCTCCTCCTCCTCCTCCTCCTCCTCCTCCCTCCTCCTCCTCCTCCTCCTCCTCCTCCTCCACCTCCTGCTCCTCCTCCTCCTATCCTCCTCCTCCACCTCCTGCTCCTCCTCCTCCTCCTCCTCCTCCTCCTCCTCCTCCTCTTCCTCCTCCTCCTCCTCTTTCTGGATGCAGGTGCTTGGGCGCCCGCAGTCGAGGCCTCTGCCAAGAGACGCCCTGCTTGCCTCCAGGGCGCCCTGGGTTTTTCCTGGGCTTCGGCGGTTTCCCGACGGAGCGCGTGACCCTGCCGCGCCGAAAAGCCCTGGACGTCCTGGCGACTCAGGGCTGGGGGTTCTTGCGCGGGGGGGGGTCCTGCGGACTGGCCCCCGCTGCGCTGCAGGCAGGGCGCGCCTGAGGAGCCAGTGCTGTGGGCGGTGCGCAGGCCCTGCGCGAGGGCCACACAGGGGAACAACTCCCCTCCTCCTCTCCTCCTCCTCTCCTCCTCCTCCTCCTCCTCCTCCTCCTCCTCCTCCTTCTCCTCCTCCTCCACCTCCTGCTCCTCCTCCTCCTTCCTCCTCCTCCTCCTCCTCCTCCTCCTCCTCCTCCTCTCCACCTCCTGCTCCTCCTCCTCCTCCTCCTCCTCCTCCTCCTCCTCCTCCTCCTCCTCCTCCTCCTCTTTCTGGATGCAGGTGCTTGGGCGCCCGCAGTGGAGGCCCCTGCCAAGAGACGCCCTGCTTGCCTCCAGGGCGCCCTGGGTTTTTCCTGGGCTTCGGCGGTTTCCCGACGGAGCGCGTGACCCTCCCGCGCCGAAAAGCCCTGGACGTCCTGGCGACTCAGGGCTGGGGTTTCTTGCGCGGGGGGGGTCCTGTGGACTGGCCCCCGCTGCGCTGCAGGCAGGGCGCGCCTGAGGAGCCGGTGCTGGTGGGCGGTGCGCAGGCCCTGCGCGAGGGCCACACAGGGAGACAACTCATCGCGCCGAGATGGTTGCCCCAGTCTCGGTTTGGCAGAGAGCGCCATGGAATCTGGAGTCTTGGACTGACAGCGGGATTCTTTTTTCGGAGGTGGGCCCGCGGCCGCCATTCGAGGGCACCAGGTGGGAGTCCGAGCGGTGTCGCGCGGGAGGCCCCAGGCAGTGAGCTCGGTGCTCGAGGCGACAGTTGCGCGAGAGCCCGCCTGCTGAACAGCCATCTTGCGCCGCAGAAGATCCCTGTCGAAGGGTGTGCTGGCGCTGGCCGGGGCAGGTGACCAGGTAGTTGACTATCTTGTCGCATCCGCCTTTTTCTCTCCTCTTGCGCGGCTCTGCGCTGCGAGAGCCCCCCCCCCCCGTGCGCCTTCGAGGCGGCGGAGAGGCCGCCTTCCACGCGCGAGGTCCTCGAGGCCGACCCCCCTCGCCCGCGCGTGAGAAGGCTCCCCCCATCGCCATTCAGATGCTAAGTCCAGCTTCAAACGCGCTGATTGGTTGAGCAGTGTAGATGGCCACGTGCAACTCTGTCTTGACTGAGCGGTTGTGTTCGCAGTGTCCTGGCCCACCCCAGGCCCAGCCCCAGCATATGCTCTTAGCGGTCGGCCTTAAGGTCGCCTACCATGCTCCTTTTTCTTTCTACAACCCAGACTGGGTCAGGACGAGATGCGCGCGCAGGGCGCTGCAGGGCGACATGCCCCCGAAGGGACCTGGCGAAAGAGCGTGCGTCGCGAGAGGCGAAGAACCCCCACTGAGATGGGTTCGCGGGTCCTCCAGCGTGTTTCTGAAGGGAGGCCACTCCAATCATGTCCCCCTGAGGTAGCGCGTCCCGACAGACTCGGCGTTGGGAGATCCTTGGGTTATCTTCTCCTCCTCTTGCTCCTCCGCCCGCCCGCCCGCCCTCCCGCCCGCCCGCCCGCCCGCCCTCCCACCTCCCTCCCTGCCTCCCCTCCCCTCCCTCCCCTCCCTCCCTCCCTCCCTCCCCCCCCTCTTTTTTTTACTCGTGCTCCCTCCCTGCCCCCCCCCCGTCCTTTTCGTGCCCCCCCCCTCCCCCCCCGCTCGGGGGAGGAGTGGCGCAGACCCCGCCCCCGCTGACGCCCGGGCCTGGCGCCGCCAGGACTACACGGCCGAACCGCTGTGCTTGCTGAACTATTTGAGCGATGACTACGAGGAGCGCGGAACGCCCTCCCCTCGCGCGACCCCTCGCGGCGGCGCGGCTCGGGCTGAAAGGGGGGGAGGAAGGAGGAGGAGGAGGAGGAGGAGGAGGAGGAGGAGGAGGGGGAGGGGGAGGAACAGGAAGAGGAGGAGGAGGAGGTAGAGGTAGAGGTAGAGGTAGAGGAGGTAGAGGCCGAGGGGGAGAAGGAGGATGAGGATGATGATGATGATGGTGATGATTATGCTGATGCCCATGATGATGCTGATGGTGATGAGGAGGAGTACGAGGGGGAGAAGGAACAGGAGGAGAAGGAGGAGGAGGAGGAGGAGGAGGACCAGTGTAAGTCCAAGACTCGTCAACGATGTTGGAATATTCCCTCCCTCCAAGTTCCCTCTTCATAGGCCCCTGGAACTGTTCAATTCCATTGAGGGAGCTGGCTCGTTGTACGACAATAGTTCGAAGGCATGCCAACATAATATTCTCGGGATTTCAACGCCACGGATCAAACTGATTTTTGCGTCTTGACGATTTAGAATCATACCAGAACGCCATTCTTGGGACATCAACACCGCGAATCAACGTGACTGCTGCGCCCTCATAATCCAGAATGTTTCCACTACACCGTTTCTGAGACGTTGACCATGGGATTCCGTAGAACTCTTGCCATTTAAAAGAGGATTGATTGTGCGCGGCGCTAAGGCGAGAGCCACATGTTGAAAACGAGCCGCCCTCCATCCGTGAAGCTCTTGCAAATATGTTTAGAACGAGTGCGCGCCTCGCAAAGGCGAGAGCCACATGCTGAAAACGCTGAAAACCACCCGCCATCAATCCGTCAGGCTCTTGCAAAGGTTTAACACGAGTGCGCACGGCGCTAAGGCGAGAGCCCAATTAGAAAACCACCCGCCCTCCATCCGTGAAGCGCTTGCATTCAACGGAAACGAATGTACGCGGCGCTAAGACAAGAGCCACAGTTTGAAAACCACCCGCCCTCGATCCGTGGAAATCCTTGCAACTGTTCAAGACGAGTGCACGCGGCGCTGAGGCGACAGCCACATGTTGAGAACCATCCGCCCTCCATCTGTGAAGCGGTTGCCAATGGTTACGCTTCATGGTCACATCCCTTTTGTCTTGTGTGTGTCATTGGTCGGTACTGCTCGCGAGGGTTTCCGTGTGTGAGCCGCCCACCTATGCGGGTCTACGCACACGCGATATTTTGGATTGCTTCTGATGTCGTTTATATATTCTGCGCGGGAGTTGCATTGGACGTTTGGAGCATGTTAGCCCCCATGAGGGGCAGCGGATTGTTCGGTGACCGCTCCCTTCTTCTCCCTCCAAAAAAGCAAAACAGTTGCATGGTCACATGGTCATAGGTGGCGAGGAAGTCTCAGGTGAAACGCCGCCCCTGCCGACCCTTTCACCGCGCTCGGGGTGCGACAAAGGGGGAGTTGTTAATACGGAATCGGAACGGAGGTGGAGGAGGAGGAGGAAGAGGAGGAAGAGGAGGACGAGGAGGAGGAGGAGGAGGAGGAGGACGAGGAGGAGGCCGAGGACGACGAGGAGGAGGACGAGGAGGAGGAGGACGAGGAGGAGGAGGAGGAGGAGGAGGACTAGGAGGACGAGGAGGACTAGGAGGACGATGAGGAGGAGGAGGAGGAGGACGGGGAGGACGAAGAGGAAGAGGAGGAGGAGGAGGAGGAGGAGGAGGAGATAGAGGACGATGAGGACGAGAAGGACGAGGAGGAGGAGGAGGAGGAAGACGCAGACTACTAATAATAATGCGATGAAGAGTATATTCATAATACACATACTAATACTATCAATACTGATGATGATAATAACAATACATAATAGTAGTAGCAATAATCAAACTGACGCTAACAATACTAATAATACTAATAAGAGCAGTCGCAAAACATAATCATACCATACTTCTAATATGAAAGAAGAGGAGGCGGAGGAGGAGGAGGAGGAGAGGAGGAGGAGGAGGAGAAGAGGAGGAGGAGGAGGAAGACGATGAGGAGGAGGAAGGCAAGGAGGAGGAGGAAGAGGAGGAGGAGCAGGAGCAGGAGCGGGAGCAGGAACAGGAGGAGGGACAGGAGGAGGAAAAGGAGGAGGAGGAGGACGAGGACGACGAGCAGGAGAAGGAGGAGCAGGAGGGAAACCACATAGGGTATATGGGGTGGATCAGGAAAAGGAAGGGGTGTAGGGTTGGAGGAGTGGAGAACTAGGGGGAGGGAGAGGGACGAGGAAGACAAGACTCCTGGACGCGGAGATGCCGCGCATCGCGCCTCTCGCGGCGTGGAGCACGGAGTTGTCCTTCCGGGGGGGCCCTGGAAGACATGGGGGGAGGAGGAAACGGAGGGCGAGGAGGAGAACCCCAAAACCCGATCAGCGGGGCACGGGGGCCAATTGGGGAGGAGGAGGAGGAGGAGGAGGAGGAGGAGGAGGAGGAGGAGGAGGAAAGGTATGCGTATCACGAAAAGCGGAGGCGGAGGCTTCATTATTGACCCGACCTTCGGTGAGGGCAAGATCAGGGGCATCTTTACATAGGCCCGTGTAAGTATGACTTGTTGCCAGGGCATTGTTGCATTGGCCTTACCACCCTCGTTAAAAACATAGCGCGATGCATCCTTGGCCCTGTCCTGTAGCGCGCCACCGCTGGCGCCAGCACTGCCACGTTAGAGGTGAGGCATGTGGGTGGAGGTGGTGTGGTGGACGAGCCTCCAAGGATTTCCTATCGTTGCCCGTGGGAGCTTTCCTACTCTTCCGTCGCCATTTCTCTGCATTGCTCCTCCCTGCTTACGTAAGCAGCATGCCTAGATGATAAGAGAGGGTATTTGCTTTGCTGTTTGCCGCGCACGTCAAGCTATGATCTGTTTGTCCATGTTCGTCGTCTTCAGACGCTGTACCCCGCTGGGCGGAGTCCGTGTTGCGTAACAATTGCCCCCCAGAGGTGCCCAGAAGGGTCCTAGGTCTCCAGGAAAAGGAGGAGGAGGAGAAGAGGAGGAGGAGGAGGAGGAGGAGGAGGGGGAGGGGGGGAGGAGGAGGAGGAGGAGGAGGAGGAGGAGGAGGAGGAGGAGGAGGAGGAGCAGGAGCAGGAGCAGGAGCAGGAGCAGGAGCAGGAGGAAGGGTGAGATCCCCAGATGTCGCGGCCATGATCATTCGGGGGAGGGAGGATTGTGAGGGCTGAGGAGGGGAGCAGAACGGAGGAGGAGTCCATGGGAGAAGATGGCCGGCGGGAGGCCACGGTGCTGAGGCAGAGGGACCGGACCTGCACCCGCGGCGAGCACGGGAGGAGGGAGGGGGGGAGGAAAGGCAACAGGAGGGAGGAGGCAGCTCTTCGGGAGGGAAGAAGACACACAGACACAATGAATCGTCGATCCCCCGGAAAATGTAAGAAAAGATGGGCAGTGGGGGGGAGACAAAAACCTAGAAAGTATGGGAAAATATTGGGAATCCTGTTATTTGTGTGTATTTATCTGTGGGAGAAGATGGCCGGCGGGAGGCCACGGTGCTGAGGCAGAGGGACCACCCGCGGCGAGCACGGGAGGAGGGAGGGGGGAAGGAAGAGAGGAGGTGGGGCCAGGAGGCAGCAGGAGGGAGGAGGCAGCCTCTGAGAAGTGCGCCCCGCGGGAGGACATGGTGATGAGGAAGAGGGACCGAAGCTGCACCCGCGACGAGTACGTGGCCTACCTGCAGGCCGCCCCCCTCGCGGCCACGACCCGAGGGCCTCGGGCGTTGCCCCCCCCCCCCCCCCACGCGGCAGGGCCCCCCACGCGGCAGGGGCTCGCCGAGGGCCTGGGGGGACGTCGGGGGCCTGCCCCTCAGCAGGAGGGATCTTCAGAGACAGTCACAACACAGCGTGGGGACGATTTTTCTAGCATGTGTTGGCATCTCTGGAGTATCCTTTTGGGGGCTCTTTTTGTTGTGCTTCGTCCAAAGTCCGCCTGTGGGGGGGTGGGGGGGAGGGGGGGGTGGGGGGGGGGAACACGCCCGACCTGAGCCCGGGGGGGAAAGTCCGGGGCCTGGCCCTCTGCACTTAGGATGCTGCGACCTGCTTTCGCCTGGATCACCAGGAGGAAGGTCGAGCGCCAGGAAAGTACCGAAATTGGAAGGAGGTTTTCACGTGTCGGGCCCTGGGAGACACTCGTCCGACACTGTTTCGACACTCGTTCGACACTCTTTCGACACTTTTCTGGGTGCTCGAAATTATTTCTGGGATGTGGTCCTTAAGTACGATGGGAGCAGCATAACTCTGCAGGAGGAATCTTCAAAGATAGTCGAAATAGAAAGTGTGGGGACGATTTTTCTAGCATGTTTGACAACTCTGGAGTATGTTGGGGCTCTTTGTGATGTTTCGTCCAAAAATTCCGCGTGCGGGGGGACACGTCCTACCTAAGCCTGGGGGGAAGAGGGCCCAGATCATCTTTGTCTAGAATTTCTTTGTTACGGATTTCGGTCGCGCCAACTTTCGGTGCGACTGGGAGGGGGTCGAGTTTCGGTAACGAAGAGACACGCGTCGGGGTCAGAGCGAGGGTTTCGAAGACGTCGACGGTTCGCTCGTTTCCAGAATTCGCGACCGGAGGCCGAATTCTGGTCGCGACCAGCTCGTCCAGAGCGTTACCGGAAATTTGCGGCAACGGATGATCTGGGGGGACGAGCGGGGAGCAGAACGGAGGGAGGACCAGGGACGAGGAACGGAGGACGAGGGACAAGGGGACGAGGGGTCGAGGGACGAGGACGAGGGACGAGGGACGAGGGAGGAAGAGGGACGAGGGGCGAGGGAGGGAGGGAGGACCGGTCTGGAGGCCGGCGGGGGGTCCGAGGTGGCCCAGCATGGGTTCTGGCGAGAGCATGGGGGGGGGCTCGGAGCGAGGTCCGAGGCCCTGAGGAGGAGGAGGAGGAGGAGGAGGAGGAGGAGGAGGAGGACTGTCCCCCTCCAGGAGGATCTTCGACGAGCAAACAGAATACCCCGAGCAGGGTCAAAACACAGTCCAAACATAGTCTGGGGACTCTCTTTTGAATTTGTTTGTTTGACCCTTTTGGGGTTCTTTTTGGGGTAATTGTTTATGTTTCGTCGAACATCCCCCTGCAGTAAAAGGGGTAATGTTTATGTTTATGTTTCATTTTGGGGGGGGGGGTAATTTTTATATTTTGGGGGTAATTTTTATTTTTCGTCGAAAGGGGACAGGCCCGACATAACGTTTGCCTTTTTTTCGGCCTCCGGAGGCCGTTCTCGGACCCCATAGGGCCGTCAAGAAGTGGATCCGGGGGGAAAGAGGCTGCACCAGATGGACCCCGGGAGGAGGAGGAGGAGGAGGAGGAGGAGGAGGAGGAGGAGGAGGAGGAGGAGGAGGAGGAGAGGAGGCGGAGGCGGAGGCGGAGGCGGAGGCGGAGGAGGAGGGAGGCGGAGGAGGAGGAGGAGAGGAGGAGGAGGAGGAGGAGAGCGGAGGAGGAGGAGGAGGAGGAGGAGGAGGGGTCCAGGGGGGCCGAAGCTGCACCGGAGGGACCCTGGGAGGGGTCCAGGGCCCGATTTGGAGCGGATTTGTCCTCATCCTCCCCCCCTCTTGACCGATGTTGTCCGGGGCCCAGCTAGTTCAGACCCCTCGGCCGCCTCGCAGATCGGGCGGGGCTAGGACCAGAATACATCATCCGGAGCGTCCCGGAACGCTCTCAGAGCGTCCTGGAGCACTTTGGAACGGCCGCGGCGCCCGATACATCGTCCAGAACCGCTGGATCTCAGAGATCCCCGCTTCGTCCTGGTCCGATTTGTCCCGGCCCTGGCTTCGCCTTGTGGACATACCGTCGATCGCTGATCCCCGGGGTGGGAGGAGGAGGAGGCGGAGGAGGAGGAGAAGGAGGCGGAGGAGGTGGAAGAGGAGGAGGAGGAGGAGGAGGAGGAGGAGGAGGAACAGGAGGAGGAGGAGGAGGAGGAGGAGGAGTAGGAGGAGGAGGAGTAGGAGGAGGAGGGGAGGAGGAGGAGCAGAAGCAGGAGGAGGAGGAGGAGGAGGAGGAGGAGGAGGAGGAGGAGGCGCACCCTCAGGCCGGCCGCGCCCGGCTGCTGGGATCGACGAGAGGCGCCTCCAAGCAAGCCTCCAGAGAGGGGCGACGGGCGCCGGCCACGACGGCGGCGGCTGCGGCCCCCAATTGGTGCCCACGACAAGGCGGAGGAGGGAGGGAGGAAGAGGAAGAGGAACCCAGACATGATCGCGTCGTAAAAAGTTCAAGACGGAGGTTTTTCATTATTTTCGGCCTCTAGAGGCCCTCGCCGGGCCCCAGGTTCGTCAAAAAACCGGCCCCAGGATGAAAAACCGGTCCCAGGGAAAGAGTCTGGATATCCGGGGACGCCGTCGTGAAAAAATCAGGACGTCGCATGTCTGCGAGGAAGAGGAAGAGGAGGGATGGAGGGATGGAGCGCCTGGGGGAACGAGGAGGAGGTAGAAGAGGGGGGGGAGTGGGCGCCATGGACATGGAGTCAACTTGAAGCCTGCCGAGGCGTTCGTCGCGGGCACGGCCGGGGGCGGCCGGCTGCAGATGCCGCTGGTCAAGTTCAACATGGCCACCAGGGGAGGGGGACGTCAGCATCGTCCAACCTCAGACCGTCCTCGGGATGACGAGGATGATTGAGAAGGGCGTGGGGGGCAAGACGGGGACGACATCGCTGAAAGTACGGCGGATCTGGAGACAGGGCGGAGCTGCGTCCCTAAGCTCCGACGTGGCAAGAAGACGGCAGCGTCGCAAAAAAGATCACCACCAGAGCCCTGGACCCCAGGCTTGCGCGCCATTTTCCGAGCCGGATCGATCTGTGAGGGCTTCCCCCCAAAGCGACCAACAAATTTCTTGTGCAGCCCTGCCAGGGCACGCCGAAGGAAGCTTCCCAGAGCCCTGTCGGCCACTGGGGGGGCCAAGGCCACGCCAGCGGGGATTCCGCCGCCCTGGGTGGTCTCGCCACAGGAGTGCCCGGCGTGCTGGTCTTCGGGTGGTTTTGGGCTCTCTTCGAACCCCACCTGCCCATCGGTCGGTGAATGTAGGTATTCTTGTGGATTCCCAGAACCCACTCTACTTCAAGCGCTTTGCTACTTCAAGAATCGACATGGCGTGCTAGTCTTCAGGTGGTCTTGGGTTTGTTTTAGAAATCCCCCTGCTCATCGGTCGTTGAATGTAGGTATTTTCGTTGAATTTCAGAGCCCAATCTACTCCAAGCGCTTTCCTACTTCAAGAACCGATCTGGTTTGGCTGTTGCTCGTTATTATGTGGGCGGGCCCCAAATCTACTTTATCCGCCTTCCTACTGCATGTTTCTACCTACTTCTTCTGACCACTGGGTATTCAGGCGATCGCAAGCATGGATCAAGGGGGCGTGGATTAGCGACGGGTCCAGTTTCCAGGGGAAATCGCAGATTTCCGCCGCCGATCGAGGCGGCACCAGCCGCATCTTGGGGAGGGCACCTCCCTTGATCATTGATCCATGGATTTGGCGACCGCGCGCCAAATCCATGGATCGCTAATCCATGTTTGCGCGCCCCCGACCTATGGCTTCGGTCCAGCGCGCCAGCCACCTGGAAAGCTTGCCTGGAGTTGTGGGAGGCAAGGGTTTTTCCGCTCAAGATGGCTCCAAGATGGTCACCAACACGGCCCAAGATGGCCCAAGATGGCCTCCAGGCTGCCTCCAAGACGGCCAAGGTGGCCGCACAATGTCTGCAAGACGGTCCAAGATGGACCTCAGACGGCCTACGATGGCTTCAAGATGGCCCAAGACAGCCCAAGAGGCCTCTAAGAGGTCCTCCAGGAAGGCCCGAAGACGCTAAAATCATGTTATCTAAAATGGTTGTTGAAGGATTTTGGCATTTGCTTTAAAATGGCCTCCCGTCGGCCCAAGACGACCCAAGAGGCTCCCAAGATTGCCCCAAGATCGCCCAAGAGGCCTCCAAGATGGCCCCAGGACGGCTGAGAGGCTCCCAAGACGGCCCCCAACGGGCCCCAAGATGGCCCAAGAGGCCTCCAAGACGCCCAAGGTGGTCTTCAAAACGGCCCTGGCGCCCCAAGAGGGCCCCAAGACGGCCCAGAGAGGCTCCCAAAGCGGCTTCTGATTGCGTCAGACGGGCCAGGAACGCCATAAGACGGCCAAGGAGGCCCCCAAGAAGCACCCAAAGGCTCCCAAGAGGCCCAAGGAGGCATCCAAGAGGCCTCCAAGAGGCCTCCAGGAGGCTCCCAGGAGGCCCCAAGAATGACCGAAGAAGCTCCCAAGAGGTCTCCTCATCCTTCTCCTCATCCTCCTTTTCCCCTCCTCTCCTCATCCCACGTGCTCCCCGAAGGGCTTCCACAGCGGCGGGGGGAACGCATGGTTCAATGGCGCGGCCAAACTTTGCCCACACGTGTGGCCGCACAGTTTTTTGATCCGCGGGGCGAGAGCGAACCTCTTCCGCTAAAAGCTAGGCGGGCTACGCACAGCTTTAATTAGGGAGACAGGGCACAGGAAGGCGGGGCCTCAGGCGGCCGGAGTGGGCGAGGCCCTGCGATGCAGGCGGTGCCGAAGTGGATATGCAGGAGCAGGTGCGCCGCGGACTGGTACCAGGGGCGAAGACCCGGAGGGTGGAGGGGAAGGTGTTGCCGTCGACGGCGCATCACGAACACAACGTGTGGCCGCACAGGCGCATCCTAGAAGGCAAGGGGTCGGCGGTGATTCGCCGCAGGCCTCCCCTTGAAGGAGCGATTATGCAGTGCCCACGATGGGTCCGAATCCCCTTGCCTCTCGTCCCCCTGCCTTCTCCTCCTCCTCCTCCTGCTGCTCCTCCTCCTCCTCCCGCTCCTCCTCCTCCTCCTCCTCCTCCTCCTCCTTCTCCTCCTCCTCCTCCTCCTCCTCCTCCTCCTCCTCCTCCTCCTCCTCCTCCTCCTCCCCCTCCTGCCGCGCGGTGCTTGCCCTGGTCTCCCTGCTCCCCGCTCCGCTCCACGGGGGGGCGAGCTGGGGCCGCGGCGGCTGGGCTTCGGGGAGCCCCCTCGTCGCCACAGTTTGACGCAGCCCGCAGAACGGGTGCTCTGAAGCCCCGGGGAGGGGTCCAGGGACCGATTTCGGGCGCTGCCGCTGTCCCAATCCCAGACATGATCGCGTCGGTCAAAAAATCAGGACGGGCGGTCCTTTTTGCTATTTTCGGCCCCCGGGGGGCCCTCGCCGGGCCCTGGGGCCGTCAGACAACGACTCGGGACGAAAAGCCGTTCCTGGGGAAAGGGCCGGGTCTTCCGGGGACGCCGTCCTGAAAAAATCAGGACGTCGCACGTCTGGGATTGCCCCGCTCTGGCTGCTGCCTCACCTCCCAGGTGTTCGACTGTGGGCCCCTTGGCGAACGCAGCCGCCCAGCTCGCGCGCCCGCCGCCAAGCAGGCCGCCGGGAGAACGCCAGGGACCACCGAAGGCCGCCAGAGGACCGCCGGAGAGACCGCCCGAAGCCCACCGAAGACGGCCCAGCACCGACGGGCAGCAGGCGGATCCATGGCCGGGCACGTCGCATCTCTCGCGCGCTTTTTCCTGCCTCTATCGCTGCGCTGCCCTCTGGCCTTTCCCCCTTCCTCCCTGCCGCCTGGCTCTCCTCGGCCTGTTGTTTTGCGGCTGCTGCTGCTGCTGTCCATCGCGATGCGCTGATTTTGCGAATCACGGATTGCAGGATCATCGCTCCATGGTTCGAATATGCAGATTTGGTTGGTTGGGCCTTCCAGTATACTCGACGCTTGGGGCATGGGTTTCCTTGCGACGCGGTGGAAAACAATGATGCATATACTTCACCCTTGGCTGGGGGATCAATTTTCAGGGACCTCGGCAGGCGGTGGATATTCTAGACGCGTCGCGTAACCTCACCAGCCGCCAGCCCATCCAGAACCGATGCTCAGGCGAGCTTCCCTGATCAGAGATGTGGAGGAGCATGCAGTGGAGCAAAGGGCTGGGGAAGCCGTCGTACCGCACGAGGGGGGGGATGTAGGAGGAGGTGGAAGGAGTAGGAAGATGTGGAAGATGAGGAAGATGAGCAGGTGGAAGGGGAGGGGGAGGGAGGAACAGGGAAGAGGGAAGAGGAGGAGGAGGAGGAGGAGGAGGAGGAGGAGCAGGTTCAGCAGGCGGAGGAGGATCAGCAGGCGGAGGAGGAGGAGATGGCGAGCAGAATGACCAGAGGCCTCTTGGATGTCCGAGAGTCTTGGAGTCCTCTTGGGGCGTCGTAGGGGCCTCTTGGCAGTCCCGTGGGCCTCTTGGAGCGTCTTGGGTGCCTCTTTGGGCCTTTTGGAGCCTCTTGGGGGTCTCTTGGGCGCCTCTCGGGAACCTCTCAGGGGTCTCTTGGGGCCCTCTTGGGGCCCTCTCGGGAGCCTTGGAGGCCATCGTGGGGCCATCTAGGTGGAGCTCGATCAAAGGAGGGGGGTCCCCAATTAGGGTTCCCCTTTCTGCAGCTCCGAAGCTCGCCTCCTGGACCCCTCCTGGGAGCGATCTTGGAGCGCTCTTGGGGCCGTGCGGGGCCCCTCTTGGGCGGCTCTCGGAGCTCTCTTGCCTTTTAGGAGCCATCTTGAGGCCTGGGAGGGCAATCGGAATGCAACAGGCGAGAAGGCGAAACGCCCATTGGTCAGTCTAAGGTTTCGGACGTGCCGGAGCGTGGCCTCTCTTGGTGGCTCTCTCGGGGGGGTGCTCCGTGGCCACGCCGGAGCCGCCTTGGGGGGCGTTCTTGGGGCCCTTTGGAGCATGCTGGAGTTTGCCTTGCTTGGCATCGCTCGGACGTGTGCATCTTTTCTCCGCGAGAGCCATCGAGGACCCTCCTGGACCACCGAGCAAAAAAAAAAACACGCACGAGACCGAAGAGTGCACGGGAAGTGGACGTCGGAGCGATGGCAAGCTGGAGCCATCTTGGAAAACAATCTTGTGCTTCCTGGGGCCCTCTTGCAGCCGTCCTGCGCGACCTCGGACGCTCCGATCAGTCGTGCCCTTCCCCGCCCCACAGACGCAGGGGGGGGGAGGGGGACGAGTAGGAGGAGGAGGAGGAGGACAAAAAAGGAGGAGGAGGAGGAGGCGAGGAGGAGGAGGAGGAGGAGGAACCGGCCGGAGAAGCTGGCCGGAGGAGCCGTCCGGAGGAGCCGGCCAGAGGGAGTCACGCTACCCACAAGCAACAAGCCGTCTCGCTCATTACCACCCGCCCTCCCAACACGTACATAGCACCCGAGTCTCGGCATCGACAGCCATCGGGAACCAGTGCAGACGCCAGCCAGGTGCGCGAAGCCCGCGAGGTGCGCCTCACATGCCAGTTGCGCCGCGCGCACCAGGTGCGCCAAATTGACCTATCGGGCTGGACTTGAACGCTGTTTTGCTGGACTTCAGCTGTGTTTTGTTTTCGCAAAACGAACAACAAAACGAAACCACAAAGAAAACCAACGTTTCGGTCCAGCCCTGTTTGCCTATATGTCTACCCCGCCACCGCCCCTGTCGAACACAAATGCAAAGTGACGGCGGCTTTGCTGTGTGCGGGTGTGCGCTCGCGACCCTTCTGCATTTCTTTTTTGAAAGGGATGGCTCGCTTGCGCACAGCATGCAGCATGCCGACCCCCCCGTCCTCCTCCTCTTCGTCCTCATCATCCTCATCCTCATCCTCCTCCGCCTCCTCCTCCTCTTCCTCTTCCTCATCATCCTCATCCTCATCCTCCTCCGCCTCCTCCTCCTCCTTCTCCTCCTCCCCCCTTCCCGCCGTCCCTGGCAAGTTGAGGTTGTTTTTTCGTGCCTTCTTGAGATGGACGGTGGGCCCGCACGGAGCAGTCAGTGTGCCGGCACCCCCGCCAGCCTCGTCGGAAAACCTATATGCAATGTGAGCGCGGGGCGTCCGTGCGTTATCCAGACGTTGGTGCAAGGTTCTGCACGTACGAGATGGGCACGGAAAGAATGGGTACCATGCTCAACAGCAGTTCCTGTTCATTTTGAACAGGACTCGCTGTCCGCGCCGCCGCGGCCTGTGTACAGTACATTTGAGACAGAAGGCCGCTTGCCCAACAGCGGCCGCTGTTGGTTTGGGACAACATTTATTGTTGGGCATCGTACCCATTTTTTCGGTACCCATGTCGGGCGTCCAAAAAGGTGTATTATTTTCTTTTGTGTAGGTGGGGGAACGAAGAACGGCATAAACACAACAACTCGGAGGTCCGCGCGGATTTCTCGCATCCGCGCTGGGGCCCCCTGGCGGCGCCTCTGGCGCCGCCCTTGGCGCGCTCCGCGCGCCAGGGAAGGGGGGTCCAGCGCCGATCCGGGCAATCCGCGCGGACCTCCGAGTTTTTATGTTTATGTCATTCTTCGTTCCCCTATGTGTTGTGTAAGGGATGGTTTGGGCGTGTTGGCACTGCACACAGCAGGCGATATGTTGTCCCCCCGCCGTCCCTGCCAAGAGCCCATGCATAGTGATCGCGTGGCGTCCGCGCGTGATGCGGATTTTGGTGCAAAGTACATCTATGTTTTTTTTCTTGCAAGGGATATAGGGGGGTGTTGGCCAGGGCGCAGCAAGCCACATGCCGCCCCCCCCAGTCCCTGTCAAAACCAACACATCGTGGTCGCGGGGCGGCCGCGCATGCTCTAGATTTGCAGGCAAAGTGCATGTTGGATTGTTTTTGGAAGGATGGTGCGGGGGTGTTGGCCTGGGTGCCCTCATGGCTCCGGGTTGGCTGTCGGTCGGGCGGGGGAGGTGGGTACACTTGTCGGTAACAGTGATACGCCCCTCCCCGAAAGGGGAGACGGGGGCTGGAAGAGGAGACGCCCTAGACCACTCACGTCCAAAGGGCGGCTGGGATCTACATGCTCGGGCCCCGGGGAGGGGGGCGTATATCCACAGATCCACCGCCTGCCGAGGTCCCCAAGGATCGATCCCCCAGGCGGTGGTGATGGACAAGATGATCCCGGGCTCGCGCGACGAGGGGACGGTGCCTCGATCGTCCGTTCGTCCGCTTGCCGCACAGGAGGAGTGGCATCGTTGATATACACCTGATCGTCTACGTGGCAAATGTTCAGTCGGGCGTGTCCCTTTACAGGCGGATTGGGGACTAAACATCGTCAATATTCAAAACGTATCCAAGAGTAAAAAAAAAATACTCAAAATAATCGTCCGCATAATATTTTTAACTATTTGTGAATCTGTAGAGGGGTAGGCCCGACTTGAGGCTAATGGAAAACACACTGATCAGCAGCTGCTTTCCGAATTCGGACGTCCGTGCAACCAGTGGGGCGCAAGGGCGGGGCAGTGACTGACGGCTGTGCACCGATGCCGGTCGTGGCCAAGCCCATGTGGGGGCTCAAGAGCGGTGCCTGCGCCGTCCTGGCTTGGGAAGGAGGGACGCGTCCGCCGATCCGGGGCCCATGGTGGGCCTGGCTCAAGTCGGTGTCGGTGCGCGGCTGCCGTCGGCCTGCTGCCGCCGGCCCATGCCGCCACCGCGCCGGGACGGTAGGCCGGGGGCCTCTTGGATGCCTTTGGGCATCTCCTCGGGGCCCTCGGCCTCCCGAGCGCGGTGTTGGGGCGGTCGTAGGTTGCCTCGGGGGCCTCTGGAGGGCCTTCGGGGGGCCCGGCTTGGGCCTCTTGAGGGCCCGAGAGTCGGGGGGGGGGGGGGGGCCTCTTGGGCGCTCGCCCCGGCGGTCTTTGGGGGGGCCTCTTGGGGCGGAGGGCGCGGGATGTCAGTCCGCGTTGCCCCTCTCGGGGCCCTCCTGGGGCCGTCCTGGGGGCCTCCTGGGCCGTCTCGGCGCCCTCCTCCCTGGGCCGCCCAGCGGCCCTCTTTGGGTGGCCTCTTGGGGGCCTTTCTTGGGGCGTTCCTAGGGGGTTAAGGGGTCTCCTGTGCCGTCTCGGAGCGCCAGAGGTTCGAAAAGGCGAGAACGCTAAAATCTCAGCAACCTGTGGAATGGCCCCTCGGAGCCCTTTGGGGGGGCCTCTCGGAGCTTTCTGGGGGCGTCTTGGGGGCCTCCCCCGGTCCGTGTGGAGAGCATCTGGGGAAGTCGCGCAAGGATCCCCCAGGGACGCCAGGGAGCGCCCGCCCGGGACCCCTGGCTTCTGGCCCCTTTGCAGTGGGGGCCCATGCCAAGAAACACCCTGCTCGCCTCCAGGGTGCCCGGGGTTTCTTGGGTTTCGATGGTTCCGCCATGGGAAACCTGATGTCCCCACACCAAAAATCAATGGACGTCCTGGGGTCCCAGGGTTGGATTTCTTGTGGAAGGTTTCTTGTGGCGTGGATCCAATGCAGGGCACTGCTACGGAACCTGGGGACCTCCCGCTTCATGACTCGATGCACGGCGGCGGACACCTTTTGGAAGGCGCGCGGAAACGCACACGTCAGGCTCGTCGTTGTCGGAAGTCGCCCCTCGTGCTGCTGCTTGGCAACGTTCCCGGTACCGCCCCCCCCCTTCTCCTCCGCCTCCTCCTCGTCCTCCCTCTCCTCCGCCTCCTCCTCCGCCTCCTGCTCCTCCGCCTCCTGCTCCTGCTCCTGCTCCTGCTCCTGCTCCTCCTGCTCCTCCTCCTCCTCCTCCTCCTCCTCCTCCTCCTCTTTCTCCTCCTCCTCTTTCTCCTCCTCCTCCTCCTCCTCCTCCTCCTCCTCCTCCTCATCATCATCATCCTCCTCCTCTTCCTCCTCCCCCACGGGCGCCGAGAGCGCAGGCGGCAGCGCGCATCACGCACGTGCGGTGCAGCGTGTGTGGGGGCTCATGGCGCCGCTGTTCCTCTGCCTGCCGTGCGCGTTCAGCTTCGTGGTGTTGCTGCCACAGTTCAGAGGGTGTGCGGCTTCGCCCCCGCGGGGTGCCATTGGCGATCTGCGGACCTGCGGATGGGCGAGGGAGGAGCTGCGCGCTCGCTCACACCGCCGTGGTGGCGTCTCCCTCCTCTCCCTCTCTCTCTCCTCGCTCCTTCTCCTCCCTGCTCCTCCTCCACCTCCGCCTCTTCCTGTGTCTCTTCGTCCTCCTCCCTCCTCCTCCTCCTCTCTTCCGCCTCCTCCTCCTCCTCCTCCTCCTCCTTCATCTCCTCTTCCTGTTCCCCTCCATTCACCTCCTCTACCTCTTCGTTCCCCACGTCCTCCTCCACCTCCCCCTCCTCCTTTCCCCCCCCCTCTGTCCTCCCATGCTCCAACCTTCCTCCTCCTCCTGCTCTGCGGGCAGGCCGTAGCGTTCAACAAGGACTCCATACAGTCGAATTTCCAGAAGGTTTGGGACGAGCACATCGGGAGCACCGTCGCCGAGGATCCCTTCCCCTCACACTGTTGCTCCGAAAGTCCCGCTGATAGGGGGTGAGGAGGAGGAGGAGCAGGAGGAGGAGGAGGAGAAGGAGGAGGAGGCTGAGGAGGAGGAGGAGGAGGAGCAGGAAGAGTAGAAGGAGGAGTAGACGGAAGAAATGGGAATGGGAATGGGTCATGGGCGGGAAGTCCGCCTGCGGCCGCAGCGGCAAAGAGGGCCTAGTCGCCCTCCAGCGGCCAAAGTCCGTCGGCCTCGGCATCCTGCTCAGCCTGCCTGCACACCCGAGCCCATCCAACCGCCGAATCGGGCGAAATTAGTACCGTGCAGGCGGGCAACTTGGGCCAGGTCCAGGACGGGGACGGTCACCCCGCACTGGTGGAAGTTGACTGGGTCCCTGAACCCAACAGAGGGCCGAGCTTGGACGCGAGCCCCAGCGAAGGCCCCGCCGCAAGCGAGGGCCCAACACCGCACAGCTCTGGGCCCCATCGGCTGCCCCTGCAGCCAGACTGTATTCTCGTCCTCGAGGCCTCGAAACGACGACAGCCTAGGAGGAGGAGGAGGTGTCGAAGAGTGAAGGAACCTGCGGGGGCGGGACCTCCTCTGGGTCTTTAACCACTTGTGCTCGGGCCCCAGGCAGGCTCCAGCAAAGGAGGCCCTTTGGCCAACCGACGCCCCACAGGCTCTGCAGAAGTACATGCGTACCCCCTCGGACCTTTCGTCATCGCACTTGACCGCCGAGTGCCCTTCAAAATGCCACGGCCGTCCAGGATCAACCCCAAGCTCAACCCCCCCGCATCAGTCGGCAAGAGCTCTGGCACTGGCGGGAGAGGGGCTGGGGCAGCCTGCTTCCAGCCGAGATCGTCTCGGGCTTGGAGCGCTGCCTCTTGGCTTGCCGCTAAAGGGTTGATGATGCTGATGCTGGTAGTGATGATGGCGATGATGATGATGATATTGATGCTGATGATGGTGATGATGATGATGATGATGCTGTTGCAGCTGCTGCTGTTGCTGATGATGATGATGATGATGCTGATGATGATGATGATGATGACGAGGCGGATGATGATGCTGATGCTGATGTTGACGATGGTGATGCTGATGCTGATGCTGATGCTGCTGATTATGATGATGGTGATGATGGTTGTGGTGATGCTGATGAGGCTGATGATCAGGATGATGATAAGGATGATGGTGATGGTTGTGGTGACGGTGATGATGATGGTGATGAAGATGATGATGGTGGCGGTGGTTGTGGTGACGATGATGATGGTGGTGATGATGATGATCACGATAATGATGCTAGATGATGGTGGTGCTGGTGGTGGTGACTACGGTGATGAGGTGGTGGTGGTGATGATGCTGATGCGCATCATGGTTTCAATGATCAGGATGACGTCGATGGTGATGAAGAATAAGATGATGATGATGATGATGCTGATGATGACGATGATGGTAATACTGATGGTAATGATGATGGTAATGATGATGCTGATGATGATGCTGATTATGCTCAATGCTGATGATTATGATGCTGAGGCTGATGATGATGATGATGCTGATCGTGATGATGCTGATGAAGATGATGATGACGATGCTGATGCTGATTATGATGATGCTGCTGATGATGTTAGTGATGGTAATGAGGGATAGGATGGCGATGGTGATGGTGAGGATGAGGATGAGGATGACCACGACTACGATGGTGATCATGATGGTGGTGATGGTGGTGATGGTGATGATCATGATACTGTTGCTGCTTCTTCTGCTGTCGAAGATGATGAAGAAGACGGCGTCAATGATCAGGATGTTTGTGATTAAGTTGATGCTTTTGATGTTGATGTTGAGGATGCTGACCATGATCATGATGATGGTGATGCTGTTGATGATGATGCTGGCGATGATGATGATGATGATGATGATGATGATGATGATGATGATGATGATGATGATGATGATGATGATGATGATTCTGATGATGATGAGGATGGCAATTATGATGATGGTGGTGGTGGTGCTGGTGGTTGTGCTGGTGGTGATGGTCGTTGTGGCGGTGGTGATGATGCTGATGATGATGCTTATGATGATGCTTACGATGATGCTGCTGGTGATGATGCTGCTGATGATGATGATGATGATGGTGGTGATGATGATGATGGTGATGATGGTGGTAGTAAGATTGTGATGGTGGTTGCTGTGATGGTGGTAGTGGTGATGAGAATGAACGCGGGGGGAGCAGGGGAGGAACATCATCATCAGTTGCAAGTGCCAGAGGATACTTCGAGGAGCAAGTTGTCACGATAAAGACACGTTCTACGATTTCCAGGGCTTCCAGACTGCGGGGTCCGCCAGATACTCCAGACATCATGGAATTTCTCCCGAGCCAGTCGCACCAGGACTCATGACACCATGTCCCTCTTCAAGATGGAGGAGGCACAGGAGCAGGAGGAGGCCGGAGAAGCCGGAGCAGGAGGCGGAGACCGGTGATGAATTGGGAGGAGGAGGAGGAGGAGGAGGAGGAGGAGGAGGAGGAGAAGAATGCGGGGGAGGAGGAGGAGGAGGAGGAGCAGGAGGAAGGAGGAGGAGCAGGAGGAAGGAGGAGGAGCAGGAGGGAGACGAAAGCCTGAATTGCGGAAGGCCTGTCGCGGCTCGGTCTTGCAGCCTGCTCGCAGCCGAACCGCCCTCGCTTCCTCCTCTTCCTCCTCGTCCTCCCTGCGTGGCGCTCCAGGACGTGCTTCGTTCTCGACGGATCGAGAAGCTGTCGTTCCTCCCTCGGCAGGAGCCAGCGGAAGTCAGACGGGGGCGGCCCCGCCAGCGGATGCCAACATGTTGAGTCCAAGAGGTGCACCTTTCGGGGGGCCCGCGCCTCAGAATCGGCCGTCTACTTCTTCCCCTCTCGTTCCCCCGCCCTCCCCCCCGGCCTCTCCTCGCCCTCGCTCATCGTCCTCCCACCCCCCTCGCTCTCACCTCCTAGTCTTAAGTCGGGCGTGTCCCTCTACAGGAGGAATCTTCAAAAATAGTTCAAAAAAAACACAGGGGACGATTTTTTGACAATTCTTGAATCTTTGTGGCATTTTTGGAGTACTTTTAGTTTTTCACCCCAAATCCGCCTGTAGGGGGGCATGCCCGACCTGATCCTAGTCGACACCATCCATCGATCCTCATGCTCTCCAGGGTGCCCCCCCTTCGCGTCCTCTATTTTTCGAGATAAGGCGGTACCAGCCCACCTCCCCCCGCCCCCCTTGGAACGTCGCGTTTCGCGCCAGCGCCGGCTGGTAATGCTTGTAGCCAAAGACAGCTCGGATAGCATATACCTCCGCATAGGGATTTGCTACAGCAGAGCGCGCATACCTACAGGGATTTGATAGGGCAGCTTCCCTTCTCCTTCTCCTCCTGTTCCTCCTCCTCCTCCTGTTCCTCCTCCTCCTCCTCCTCCTCCTCCTTCTCCTCCTCCTTCTCCTCCTCCTCCTCCTCCTCCTCCTGTCGTCGCCGTCGCCGTCGTCGCCGTCGTAGCGTACCTCCTTTCGTCGCCCTCGCCTTCTCCATAGCATCGGAGGGTGCTCCACGCAAGGGCAGAAGACGGAGGAGGAGGAGGAGGAGGAGGAGGAGGAGGAGGAGGGCGACGAGGCAGCCCCAGCCAGGCCGAGGCGACGTGTTTTCGTCTGCACGTCTGTGGTCGCTTCATGCTCCGCTTGCCCGCCTCCCCAGGAGAAGTAGGAGGAGGAGGAGGACGAGGAGGAGGACGAGGAGGAGGAGGAGGACGAGGAGGAGGAGGAGGAAGAGGAGGAGGAGGAGGTGGAAGACGAGGAGGAGGAGGAGGAGGAGGAGGAGGAGGAGGAGGAGGAGGAGGAGGAGGAGGGCGACGAGGCAGCCCCAGCCAGGCCGAGGCGACGTGTTTTCGTCTGCACGTCTGTGGTCGCTTCATGCTCCGCTTGCCCGCCTCCCCAGGAGAAGTAGGAGGAGGAGGAGGACGAGGAGGAGGACGAGGAGGAGGAGGAGGACGAGGAGGAGGAGGAGGAAGAGGAGGAGGAGGAGGTGGAAGACGAGGAGGAGGAGGAGGAGGAGGAGGAGGATGAAGCAACTCCATTCTCTTTGTCTGTCCTGGCGTGAAGCACCTTGCGATCTCATGAGCAAGACGAGGACGAGACGACGAGATGAGGAACGCCACCACGATTACGACGACGCCGACGACGGGAAGGAGGAGGAGGAGGACGAGGAACAGGAGGAGAAGGAGAAGGGAAGCCCCCTGCCGTAGCGGATTTCTACAGGCATGCGCGCTCTACTGTAGCAGATTCCCATATGCATCTGCTATCCGAGCTTACACTGGCTACTATTAAGCATTCCCAGACGGCGCCGTCGCGAAAAGTGACGTTACTGGCTCACTCCCCCCCTGGTAACGCCCGCAATCGTCCTGGAATATAAAACGCTCTCGCATCGTGCAAGTGTGCCAGCAACCATGGATCACCTTCCCTCGTCTTATGCATTCTGGGGGCTCTTGTTTTCACTGGGAGGGCAGAGGAGGACGAGGACGAGGACGAGGACGAGGACGAGGAGGAGCACGAAAAAGAGGAGCAGGGAGGTGTGAGGAGTAGGGGCAGGAGAAGCCGGAGGAGGATGGGGGAAGGGAGGGAGGGAGTTGAGGGGGAGTGAGAGGGGGGGGGGGTAGGAGCAGAAGGAGGATAATGGGGATGAGGTTCAGGAGAAGGAATAGGAGCATGATCAGGATAAGGAGGAGGAGCGGGAGGAGGAGGAGGAGGGGGTGGAGGAGGAGGAGGAGGGGGACTGCTCGCAACCCTTGCCCCTGCCCGTACTCGAGCTGAGCGACAAGACAGACTGCCGCTACATCGGCATCTATTACAAGCAGCTCGTCACGGGGCTCTGCGCTCAGGAGGGGCCGGTCGGTGGGGGTTGGATGAGGGAAGGCAATTTAGGTACGGTTGCGCCATCTCTGACGTCCTACCCTCCCACCTATCCCCTCCCATGGCGCTGACGCTTTTTTGATCTTTCCGACGGCTGTCATTAGCGGACCTGAAAATTGTTTAAAAGGATGGTCCTTATCGTGTTGTACGCAGCCAGACGAGGGGAGCTGAACACATTGGACGAGGAGGGGTAAGAGGTGGCGGACGAGCAAGATAATAAGCAGGAGGAAGAGGAAGAGGAGGAAGAGGAGCAGCAGCAGCAGCAGCAGGAGTAGGAGGAGCGGGAGGAGCAACCAGACCAGTTGAAGGCGAGGATGGGAAAAGGGGGACGGGAGCAAGGCGTCGATCCTCAAACGCAGCCAACGCTGGAGCAGGAACACCATTTTGAAACACCGACAACGTTCCGTGTAGCTCTTGTGTCGGGTCGGAGCGGTGGATGGGGTAGATAATGTTCACCATCCTGATGAGCAAACATCTTATTGTTGTATTTGTGGAGGTACCAGAGCCAGCCAGGTAGGAGTAGGTCGTCATTCGGAGACCTGTACGCGTACGTGTTGGATTGCTTGTTGTAGTAGATTTCGTAGTGCCATCTGTCATCCTCGTAGCCGTCGGTGTCTGTGTCGTTGGCGTGATTGCAATATGCTGTCCATCCGCCAGGGCAGTGCACGTCGTGGTATTGGTTTGGTTTAAGGGAAGTGACGTTGAACTCGTGCGTGCCTGATGCTCTGTTCATCTTGGCCCACGGGTCGTCGTCGTCAATGCTTTCGTCGGAGTCTGTAGCGTCGTGGATCAGTTCGGGTATGCATCCCCATGGACTTGTCTCTGCTCGGTCATTTGGTGGTCGAGTTGCAGTTGTTTGCGTTGGTGGTGTAGGTGTTTGTGCGGGTGGAGCTAGTGTTTATTCGTAGTTGGTGTGTGGCCTTGTCTTGTCACGTATGTCCATTTTGTTCTTCAAGATGGGGTTGGGAATGAGCTGCTCTGTTGGTATCAACCGAGAGTGACCGTTGCATGTGTATCGCTCTTTTTCCAGATGGTCGTAGTATTTTTTCCTATGCCTTATCTAGTCGCCAGCGGCTGTTGTACGAAGCCGCAGTGCATGTGGTCTGGAGGGAGGTCGATTGGGTATTTGAAGCTTCTTTTTGTAGTGATGGTCTTGGGTCGCTTCAGTGTGAATTGTGGTCCGTGGGGGTAGGTTATGACCTTGGATGGTTGCGGTTGAATGCGTGCTGGGTTGCTGCCGGCGCGCGTGGTGCGATTGTTGGGGTGTAGGACCATAATGGGCGCAGGTGACAGGTGGTATAGTGCACGTGACCATCTTGGGTTGTCCATTGTAGGCGCTTTGAGCTCGTATTGGGTCGGTGGTGTTGGTCTTTGATAGTGGTCTGGTCTGACGCGTGCTGTGCCCGACCATTGAGTAGATCGCATTCGTATTGGGAAGGCTTTTCTAGCTCAACGTAGTCAGGCTGTTGGTGGCTGACTGGAGGTGTGAGGTGTCGCCTGTGCTTGTCGGAAACGCATGCTGCCCATGGTGGGTGTAGGGCTGATGCACCTGAGGTGTGCAGTGAGTCAGCTAGGTAGTTGGTGGACGAAAGAATTGCTGATCCCGTGGTGGCATTGTGGTTGTAGTCGGTCATGGTGCTGAGAAATCTGCGTCGTTCGTAGTCTAGTTCGTCGTGGTCGATAGTGGTGCGGACGGCGCAGCATTCGTCCATCTGCACCTCACATCTTTTACGCTTTGCTGGTAGAAGATCTTTTGCAGGTCCTCCTCCTCCTCCTCCTCCTCCTCCTCCTCCTCTTCCACCCTCCCTTCCCCCCCTTCCCTCTTCGGCCGCCTCTCTCTGCCGCTTGGGCTCGCTCGCGGGGCGGAGGAGGAGGAGGAGGAGGAGGAGGAGGAGGAGGAGGAGGAGGAGAA